CGTAATCAGCGTTCAAAAATACAAAAAATAGTGTAGTTTCAAAAAATCGGAGGGTTCACCTATTCGGAACTCCACCCTTTTATCTCGTTATATCTTTTCGCTAATTATATTCTTAATACGATTTACCAGTATATACTATGGTCTTCCTCCTTTATTAAAATGAAATTTGATTTTGGCGCATGATAACTCAATAATATCATATTATTATTTGCCTCATAATGTTATTTCTCTGATTGCTGTCATTGCAGCGAGCGGCAACCACGTTTCATTATTCAATTGCAGATTTCTGCATTCGTATGCGAGGAATATTGTTCGCGCATAAAAAAAGGTTCGACGGGAAATTAATCAATCGTAGTCCGGTCACATCGATTTTTGCTTTCGCGCTCAATGATGTTGCGCGAACGAGCATGGACGGAAGGTAGCTGCCTATGTCGGATTGCGCCCACCGGAGGTGGACCTCGACGTGAATATTCAAGACGCCTTAAAGCGCGGCGTGGTACGACACCTGCGAGATAATTGAACTTTTGTCGGGTGTTGAATAGAATACGCGTTTTACAATATCTTAAACTTTCGCGTCCTATATCGTCAAATATCAGCGTGAGAAAGAATGCTCTCGCAGATGCATGAGGAGGATCACGAGAGGATTGCTGGGGTATTCCGCATCCCTGATCCGGGGATCAGATTAATAAACATGACGGCTGTCCCGCGAAAACTCGACTGTTCTGGATAGCCGATGTACATGCCAGGCGCTTCTCAGGATTCCGCCATGGATTCCTGGCGGGAACGTTCGTTTATGGATCGAGAAGTTGCATAATGTATTGACGATTTTCGCGTGAGAGTCCGAAGCGGAGAACGCGAACACGCGCCGTCCCGTCACAAAGACGAACACGTACACAAAGCGGAGAATACGCGTGTACGCACCTACGACGTCTCTTCTGCTTCTTCTTCGTAGGTGCGCGGTTACGAAGGGAGAGAGAGAAAGAGAAAGAGAGAAAGAAAGAGGAGCGAGCGCGGCCAAAGTTGTGCTCCGCGCTCGAGCAATTCCTTGATGCATATTGTCACGCGTTGTTAAGCCCTGAGAGCACCGGCCATTACCGGCCGGGGAGGGAATCGACGCTGATGCGAAAGCTGAAGAGCG